TAACCCTCATGCATGAGAAGCGCTCAACGTAACCTCGATATAAGAAAATCGGAGAAGTTGTGAACTTCTCCGACTCCTTTTCTTTGAAAAGAAAAGTTGCCCCCCACTAGGATTCATGGGCGCGTTTACAAACATACAAATCCACATACAAAAGCTACCCAGACCCGAAACAACAATTAGTAGATCACACAAAATGTTGTTCCGTGCGGGAATCGAAACAGCGATATGTTGCATAGCAGCCAGCAAAGAGAATAAATACACTGTATCGTCATTGGCAGCCAGTTACCCAGCCACTGCGCCAACCATGCAGTCAGCCTTACCTATTCCACATTTATTCCGTACCAGATGTTTGTTTATCTTAGTTTTAATGAAAGCAGTTAGCATTTGACATGGCACGTGCGTACGACAGGCCCGTTTTCAAATAACCTGAGGTCCCGTTAATTAATTATCCGTGCTCTGTGCACTCTCTCGCAACTTGTTCTACCACAGTGTAGAGGAGCCGAGTAATTACTCCGAAGTCCGTTTGTCATCTAACATCTAATGAATTTAACTGTGACTGTGAACGACATCTGTGCTCATGGGTCTTTGTTTGAGATGATTTGAGTATATCTCAAAGATATATGTATAGATACCTAACGATTTTTAGGTGGGAAGACAATCAAGTTGTTCTCGCCCAGGGTATGGAGTGTCAGACTCTTTCTGAGTAAAACACCCCAGTTCCTCCGCCGAATACGCGCCTCCGGCAACCTAACTCACGAGGCGAGAAGAGGCCTTTACTCAGCAGTGGGCACTTATAGCCTGATGATGATGATGATGAGTTTTCAAGATTAAGGACTGATTTTTCAATGGTTAGATAAAAGTTATCTGGGGAATAATTATGATGCTGTCGCGTCAGAATGTTTGTATAAGACAGTGAGAGCAACAATTTTATTTCTAAGACTGTTGAAAAACCAGCCCTAAAGCATACATAGGAATAAAGCATACATAGCAAGCAGGTTTGTTTTGTACTACCTACATATGTAGTGCTTAAAAGACAACTTTATGACAAAGCATTCATATAATCCTAACTAATATTATAAATGCGAAAGTAACTCTGTCTGTCTGTCTTTCTGTCTGTCTGTCTGTCTTTTCTTCACGCCTAAACTACTGAGCCGATTTCTGTGAAATTTGGTACAGACATAGTTAGGAACTCGAGAAAGGACATAGGATAGTTTGTATTCCAAAAATCTGCAGGAAGTAACTTTTCCACGTGAACAAAGTCGCGGGCAAAAGCTAGTAGTATATAATATAGGTAATGCCTACCATATATGATTACCTGCCATTTATTAAACGAACTGATATATTCACGTGTCATGATACATTCGTGATTAAATGTCCATATCGCATTTTCGTATCCTGTTGCCGTGTTTCGCAGATTAATTGTTACGAACTATTTATCACAGGATTTGAAACTGAAACGTGGGCGGTAGATACGTTTATTGATGAAAATATGTAGTGCATTTTGACATGCAATTACACTATTAAATATTTTAGTTTGAAATTGTTTCCGTATATTCAGATAAAGGGACTGGGTCTTTAGAATGAGGAAACTGATCGCTAATTAAATTCTCTGTTGTTTTTTTTTTGTAAAGTGTTTCGCAACACACAAGACCTCAGGCCTCAGGTAATCTCACGGTTACCGGAGTGTGTGTTGTGTCCTCCATGGGGGAGGGGGGATGGATAATAGCTTAATATCCGAAACCCTTATTGTCAAAAGGTCGGCAACGCACTCGTAACTCCTTTGTTGTTGCGGGTATCCATGGGTGGCGCCGATTGCTTACCATCAGGCGAAAAAAACTCACCGTAACGTGTAACCAACCTACCTAATTCTATTGAACGTTGTTAGCATTGAAGTAATAACTCTACTTGATTACCTCCGAACAAATGTTGCTATGTTTGGTTGTTAAACAGAATTACATTAATTAGTTTATGAACTTAGATGTTGACGGTTCGATGTATTTGGGAGCTATGTACATATACATATGCATTGATATTGCATAGATGTTAGGTAATTGTATTATGTTTACTGGAGTAGGTATTGCAAATAGAATTGACCTAGGAATAGGTGTGCATAAGGTCGAGAATCTCATGCATTTTTTGTGTTCTCACTAATTCAACAGAAATGTAAACGTGTTCTTAATTTAAAATATGTTTTGTTTAGTAGAAGATAATTTACGATACAATTCGTTAAGTATAAGGAAATTCATTTTATTTTTATTTAGACTTCGTCACGTAGATAATTACTTAAATCGGAGCCTTATTTCATTATATTAATACCTATCAAATGTAAAAGCTACATACGACTTTTCAAAAATACACGGACGTTACGATATTCTTACTTTCTTTTCAAGATCCATAAGGTTCATTTTGCAAAAAAATAAATGAGCAGAAATACCTTTTAAAAATAAGCACGTAAGAACTGTTGGTGTGTGCGAAAACAGCACGTGTTGACAACGGGGCTATTGTGAATCTGGCACGCGCGAACAATGCGTTACGCATTATAGAAATTATTACAGTCTGTTGACACGCACGTATACTACAATGGAAATGATGAAGCACTAGAGATGATACCTGTATAGGCTTTTACTTTATATAAAGTATATTAATATCACTTTAACGAACAGGATTATTTGCTTGACTAATGTATAAAAAACGCAAAGTAACATATGTTCAGGCTTACGTTTTTATGTAGGTTACCTAAGTATCTAGTAGTTTTTTGAGGTTTTCAAAAGTACCTATTTATGGTTTAGTTGGAATAAATGATTTTGATTTGATTTGATTTGATTATCAGAATGTCAGACTCTTGTTGACGTTGACTTAAAACCCCCTGGTCCTTCTCCTGCTCTAGGCCGAGGACGCGGCACCTTATTGCGCTTACCCTCCAAAATTGGCCCTATTGGGCCCCGTCTTTGGGACAACCATAGACGGGGCTATGGTCTCTTTGGTATGGTTCTGACAGTGGCCAGAAATCATACTCAGCTGGGCTTTATATTTTTTTTTAGTTTTTAAACCTGATGACAACCAGTCTGACTTTTTCGGAGTTGTATGTACTTTCTTTGATTATTAAGACATCACTGACATACGGTCAAAGATAATATTGTGAGGAAACCTGGACTTATGATTTCTTATAAGTTTGAAAACGCCAATCCGCCTTGAGCCAGCGTGGTGATTAATAGGTACTCAAACCTTCTCCGTGTAACAAGAGGCTTTTTCTCAGCAGTGGACACTTATTGGCTGTTTTTGTTAAACACCAATCGTACTCATATAAAACGAATGTCTTACGATATTCAAACATATAATACCTTCATACCTACATTTTTTTTACATACCTACATATCATATAAACAGAAATTCAATTATCTATTCATCTGTCAATCAGCTCAGTCTCCATTCATGGTATAATTCCGGTCGCTTAGCAACAGAACATTTTAGTGGCCCTAATCATGTGTGTTAGTGGCCTAAATTCCATCAATAAATGATTAGATATTAGGTTGGGATAGGGTAATAGCCCGTTACGACGGTTTTCTATACGTATTAATACTGCTTGTGTATTACAAATTGAACCTTATTATATTGTGATAAAGAATATCAAGAAAGTAGCACAAATGAAAAGTTGCATAAAAAGATTCTGAACTTAATTTTTTTTCCTTTTCTCTAAGAACCAAAAGCCAACATCATTTATTTCAATTAGACCCTTATCCAGATCGTAGACCAGACCCAGATCATAGACACATTTGAACCTAAAACAAAGCTGTGATGGTTCCGATGGAGAAGAATGAGCAAGAAAACTCTCAACTAAGACTTTGGCTGAATTATTAATTGAAGCAACCAATAAAACCAACACATAAGGATCGGATCAAGGGCATCAAAATAGCTATCTTGTCCGCAACTCCATTCGAAGTTAAAAAAATCCCTCATCATGTCTCTATTACAATATTAAATAAAACCTTCACAAATATTAACATCAGTATCTTCTTGCAAATTAAATTAAATTCAGCTGTGAACTGACGAAGTAGGTATCCCTGAACATTTCTGCTTGCAATTCAAGTTCCACATAATAAGTGGTCCCACTTGTCTCCTAAATCAACAGCGAAATTAATTAATGTCGTTTATTTTGGTCCTCGCTATGCTATTACTCCACCGTAATATCTGCACAATTATTCAACCAATTCTCAGTGCACGTTGTTTTAATGTTTCTAGGAGGATGTTTCTTAAGATCTGAACTGTTTAGGGACTGTTTGGATGGATCTTTTTGATGATCTTGTTCGCACATTGCATGGCAGAGGGCCAAGGGTTCAAGTTTGGTCTTGTCTTGATTAGCTGATTTGGAAGTTATTGGAGAAGTCCTCTATGTTTAGCAGTAGGCGTCTTGACCTTGTTATGATGATTTTTATTATGACGTTTGGTTTTCAGTTGTTCAAAAATGTGTATCCAAAATCCAAACCGAGAAGAAATACCGTGTTTAGTCAGTAAGAGACTGCCATTCCCTTTCATCCCAGAGGAGTCACAAAACTTGATGATGTCTTCCCCTCAAAAAGCCTTAGCCATGAGAATTTTTAGTTCAATCAAACTATGATTTCTAACTTAGTAAACAATACCATCGTTTACCAATATTCGTCTATATCGTATGGTTGCTTACCTGCCGTCTATTAAGCCATAATCGATGGTGTTTCCATCGACTATTTTATGTGAATTAAAATGAGCTTTTTACCTATTATTGTTTTTTTTTGTGTATAGAAGAATAGACCACCGATACATGGTGGTCTATTCTCTAATTAATAGCGGGAAACCACGAAAATCAATTAGGGATTAAGTAAAATTAAGTGGCGCGTGGATTCACTAGATAACTAGGAATCTGCACAGTCCAATCGAGTATAAAATGAACATCATCATGCAATCGAGTATAAGGAATGATTTTAATTGGTGATAACCAAAGAGTTTCAAAATGTTTTTCCCAGTACATCTTGTTCACTATCACTACATAGTATAAAACAAAGTCGCTTTCTCTGTCCCTATATTTCTTTAAAACTACGCGACGGATTTTGATGCGGTTTTTTAATAGATAGAGTGATTGAAAAGGAATGGTTTATATATGTATAATAACATCCATAATTAGTGGAGATATTTAGTATCAGTATCAAGCCGGGGTGGATAGCTAGTACAAATATTATATTATGTTTTGTTCATTATTGTCTCAAAGCATTGTAGGCCAAAGAAACTTGTCTTACATTGCTTTTCATTTATCTTCTTGTTATCTTTAAAAACTTTTGTGTTATTTAAAAGCCTACCTATGTTTAACCTCAAAATGCTTTTCCAATAGATGATAATATCAAACGTATTCCCGAAAGCATTCATGGTAAAAACCCACGGGAAATCACAGAACGCGTCGAAGAATCAACGGAGCCTTTCATAAGTTTCTTTGGTTACATTATTTGTAAATGTTTCGCTTCTACTAAATAAGAGGTTGAATAAATCTATTGAGGTATACGAAAGTAACCTAAAATGTCTTTTATTCATACAATGTCGACTTTATTACTAATGTAATAATGATGAAATTGTGTTGTAGTTATTTGTCAGATTTAAGTACTTTTTGCCTACGCGCAGTTCTAAATTTCTACACTTCGTTTCTTTTCGAATAGCTTACTTTTCCTATGGCGAGTTTGAAATCTTAGGTTTAGATCTAATTGCCTCTCTCAAGTGGAGAGCGGAACATAACGTAAGTGTTGTGTCACGCCGGTTTTCTGTGAGGTCGTGGTATCACTCCGGTCGAGCCGACCCATTTGCCGAAGCATGGCTCTCCCACGCTTAATGCAATGATACTAAAACAAACAAAATTTGAACATTTTGTACTTTGTTGACCCAACAAGAGATCGATCGAAACACTCAAAATTAAACCTATTTCAAAACTTTAATTAAAATAGACATTGGAACAGACAGTGGATTGTAACGTAGTTATAAAACATCGGGTTCTGAATAGGGTTAAATCTAGAAGTTTTTTGTAAAAATTACATTATTTTAATAACAGGTATTAGACGCTTTATGCACGAAGGATCCCTAACGAGGTTCTGACAGTTTGTACGTCAAACGGGCGAAAACTTTTCGCTAGTGAATGAACACAAAGGCTTGGCTTCAAATTCAAACTCATAACACGTAATTTGATTAAAAATAAAATCTTAAATTTATTTTTTAAAGTATTTCGAGCTTTAATGACTTCTCTTGCTAAGGGTGAGGTGTGTTGAAGATGGCCTGTGTGTGTATTGGCCCTTTGAGACACGCCCGGGTGTGTTACTGGTCTGGTGGCGAGTTAACTCGCAGACCCGAGCTTTTATAGATTTTGGGCATTTTTCTGCTAAAGAATGTGTCAAATTAACTGATTTATCAATTATATGCTTCACTCTTTTACTTGGTACCTCAGTGTCAGACCTCGTTTGCACACACGGCGCGATGCGACGCGCGTCTTGTAGGACGTTATACATTGCTCTTAATGTTCTCAATGTTTGTCCTTGCGCGGGCAATGAAGCGGCGTGCTACAATGAACGAAATCTCACGAAGTTGCCGCTCCTGTACCTACCTACATAAAAGAGGCTTAGGAGTTTCATATGTATGCGAAGTCTAAGAGTAAAAGCTAGTACGCAATTATAAATACCAAATGCTCGTTATTACTGAGAAATTCAAAGCCCAATTAGTAATTTATTATCTTTGTACACGCTAAAGTAAATACAAGACATAAACTAATATTCGTATGATAACGTTTCATCACTATGACCTCTAAAAATCCTCATTTATCAGTTTTTTAGGTCACGATCGTTATTTACTTAATTATTTTATCAAAGAGTACATAATTGCTTTCAAATACTAGTGGATGTAAACAGTTATTACTTAATATCCAGTGTTTGTTATAAACATGTGCTTCCTATCCTATATAATAAACATATATGTAGAAATATAACAATAATAAATGCTTGTTGGATAACCGCTACTTATAATGGCGAACGTATTCGGGATTCAATATCAGAAGACAATCCAGTGACTTACAAATCATAGTCGTTTTTCGCCAGTACCTTATAAATATTTATCGCAAAAAATAAATTTAATGTAATAATTCAAATTTATTCAAAGCACAAGCTAACTGTCTGAGTCATTGACATGAGAAAAATGTAACATCTGAGAGCTGCCACATGATGCTGCTGTCTCGTTTCTTTTTATATCTTTTTGATAAAAATGCACATTTGTATTTTAAGACTTTACCATTGCCATATGCATCCAATAAGTTTTGCTTGCTTCCGTTCTTTTTTTTATATTACTTTAATATAGTACTTGGGGCCGAGACGTGCGGGATCATAACACTGTTAGCTATTGCGGTGAACTAACGAAGTGCTCTCAAGTGTCGTCAAAGGACGCCAAGCCAGCCATGGTAAGGTAACGCGGCCTTTCAAACGGTCCCGTAGAGAGCACTCCCAAGGAACGAGCTCCTTCGCAAGAACGAAATGTATACAAATGTTACTCTACAACTTATTTGAAATACGCCCCAGAACTTCGTATCACAGGTTATATGACGGGCTCTGATTCCTAACTTCAACCCTGAATAGATTACTACCTTTTCAACCTTTTGCAAAAATGCCATTGTGGAGGATTGCGACGCGAAAAAGAAAAATCTTTTAAGCTGATATAGAAGTTTTACAGATCGTTGAATATCTAAAATCTTGTTGAAACTTCGACATAGTCACGATGAGAGATTAAATTTGAAATTTTAGAAAATGTTACAAAAAGTGACTGACTTACGAGATATTAAAAACGATTCTAATATCTATTAGAATCGCTTTAGTTCAAAAAAGAAAGATTTAGTTCAACGTTACGTAGCTTGAACAGAATCGATTAATGCTGGAGCAATTCCCAATTGGACTCCGTTCTGAGCAAGAAAAAGAACCAACAAAACAATAAGTTTAATTATTCAAGCGAGGTTCTATTTTTGTAATAGCATTGGGATTACTTTGGGCACGATGGTGATTTGGGGAGATGAGGTACAGTGACGAGCCGAGCTTAACATCAGAGATGTCTGCAAAAATCCTTCTACATTTCCCTTCTACCAGTTTAAACATGCAGCTGAAATTCACAATGCTAATTACAATAATTAGACGGGACATTCAATTAAAATACTCGTTCTATTATAAGCGTCTAGGGAAATATTTGCGCTAAGTAGACACTGCTTAGAATTTGACTTGACTCTGCTGGTTTTGGTTTAAGGACTACGAAGATAAGTACTGCCAAAAATGTTTAATTCAAAGTCAAAATTATTTATTGCAATTACACCCTTACAGCCACTTTTGACCGGCAATCAAAGCTTGAAAATACAAAGTATCAGTCTGTATTTTTTTAAATAAACCCTTGTCCTACCAAAATGTTAATATGAAAGTTTGTGAGAATGTATCGATGTATGTCTGTTATTCTTTTACGCCAAAACGGCTGGACTAAAAGGTGATACTATGGATTAAAACATAAGACAACTGCTTTTCATCAAAATTCCATGCGGTCGGAAGCTTGTTCATTATATAAGTGAAGGACTTCGTTTTAAATAAACTAATGTCGTCATCACAAAGTTTCAGATTCTTTGTTATCAAAGGAGGCCAATTCAATCTGAGTGGCTTGTCGTCAGTCAATGAATGATGCAGTAATACTGTCTATATCGCTCTACAATTTGTTAACTCCTGGGTTAATAGGTCATGTGTGTTTCGAAGATAAATGGTCTATCTCATGTTGGATATCTGCCCAAGTAACAGCTAAATCTGCCGTTTCAATAGCTATGACTGCTATGGATCGTGATTATTCTTGAAGGTTCTTATACTCTTTTGTGTTTAGACTCTTGAAGTATTCTACTTAGGTTAAAAAAAACTATTGCAATATTTGTAGTATGAAAGTTAAAAAACTGTTTAGTGTATGTCAGATCCGTTATATAATGAAAACACATTTTTTGTCGTAGGTATGGCAAATCAATACTTAGATTAACATTTTGGGAGTGCACGATGGCCACGTAACCGCTAGTAAAAATCGACATAATCGTAATTAAACACGATATTTCGAATCAATGTTTCACAGAAACTATATTTAATTCCGAGTGTAATGAAAAAATGTGTGTCTAATGTTTATATAATAAAAAAATACATTTAAACGTTTTGCCTCCGCGATCCTGTTACAAAATGACTCTAAATATGTGTAACTAATAAATATTAAACTGTTTAAGGAAAATCGAGCATAAAGTACCTACACATTTAATAACCCGTATTGGTAGCGTTTTGTTCATAAAACTCGTCCATGGAAATAATAACAGACTTGTAATCCAAATGTTTATATTCCTGGTACAAGAAATAAACGCTACAGGAGAGATTTACTTAACCAGTCCGGACCAAATTAAACCTAGATTTCCTTTTGAAACACTAACTGCAAAATATTATACGCTAGAGCTTCACGAAACGAAACTTTCAATACTCCCTGTAACAAATATTATAGTTCACTGTTTACCCAATATGGAAGACTTATTCCCACTCTACAGTTTGTCACATGAATATGATAATCCCAGTGAACACATTGAGAATCACACGTGGGAAGAATTCACGACGTGTCGCCCGAACGCAATATTCTATAACGGCTTTGATATGACAGATTTTTCGTGTAGCCTGTCGTGACACAGCAATGTATGTCGATTATGGAGGGCTTACGTAACCACCTGTGCGTAGTAGTGGGGAGACGGTCCTATGAGACAATCAGACTGCATTTGCGTATTATACGATTTATTGTTCATCCTTCCGCGAAGCCACGCTAAGCGTGCGTCACAGACACGCGTTTGCATTTAAAAAACCTATGAACCATTCGATAAGTTGAAAATTATTAGCAGAACTATATCATTTTGTTCCATGTTTTATTGATGCGAATAATATTTAGGCTAATAAAACTAAATGACCGCTGGGCTGACCGGACTATTACACTGAACGAGAATAATTTCGTGAGG